AGTTCTTATAGCAAGTCAGATTTGCATCCATCATCTTGGTATTTTACAGCAGTAGTAACTCTTGTGACTTCAAGTGGTAGATATTTTGTCTATCTCTCTCAGGGATGTCAAACACAAAGCCTCTGATCCAGCCCCAGGGTTGCTTATATCTGGCCTTTGGGGTCACCCTGGAAACAGTAAAGGACCAGCCCAGGGTGCCTCTGCCAGCAGAAACGGAGCTTGGAGGGTGACACATGACCCTTGTGGAGCTCCATTTTTTCTGGCAGAGGGCTGCAGAATGCCATCACAGCTAAAATGGGGCCCTGGCATGAACTCCCCCCCCCCAGCTCATTTTTTTCTGGCAGAGGGCTGCAGGAGGCCGTCGGGGCTGAAAATGGAGCTTGTGAGCATATTTTGCTGGCAGAGCGCTTGAGCCACCACAGGCACCCCTGACACAAGTGATGTCAAGCTGGCCATGCCCACCCTGGCCCTGTGAGGTCAAACATCACCCTGACGTGACCCTCAATGAAATTGAGTTCAACACCCCTGATCTATTTGGAGATGTTGGAAGACATTTTGAATGTAAAGTACATGCTTCACAGAGGTAGTCTTTTAGCTGAATCTGTTCAAACAAACTAGCATCCAATTAAAGTTATTCAATTTTATCATTTTAAAGATTTTTCTCAATTCAGACCTTTCCAGGAACGTTTGGATTACAATGCCCATTATTTCCGAAAGGGAAGTGTTGGGATTGTGGATTCCAGCTTGAAAAACACTAAGAACTTCAATTTAAACCTTTCACCACCAGAGGTCGCACATCTCCATCAAAACCGAACTGCAGTAGCTACAACTGTGCTAGGGTGGTAATAAGGATAACTATTTTTTACTACAGCGCCATATGTAACCATCTTATGGCAGAAAATTTCAGAGTAATTTTAAGGACATTTCTATTAAATATTCAGTGCAATCAATCTGAACACTCATGAATATGGCACTAAGTTAGGGAAAGCAGTCATATTGATAGGGAACAGAAGGGCAAGATTGCTGTTGTTTTGCTAGGATATAGGGATTACAAAATGCTTTAAAGGGTTGTGAATGTTTTTTTTTCTGAAGCTTTGAATATTTTTGGTTCTAATTCTAATTAAAATATGACACTGCCTGCTAGTATTTTGAGTTATTTTTCCAGATGTTCCCAATACACTAAGAAGTGCCTATTTTTGAAAAAAAAAAACTTAAATTCCGCCTTTAACTTGTAATCAGATTTGCAGATGCTGGTGATTTATTATATTACTCTTGTGTAATTTTATTATCTCTCTCTGTGACCACATTTTTCTGTGGATAAAACCCCATGAGAAATACAGAGCAAGTTAATCCATTTCTGTTTCAATGCCAGCCTTATAAAACATGCTGTCTGGGATATAGAATCAGGCTTCCCGGCAAAGGGGCACATGTATCGTTTTCCTACAATAGCCTTCATTACCTTTTGCCAAGAAACCAATATGGAGGCATCTTTGTAGTTAGCAGCCTCTGTACCTGACTTTACACTTTGATGCTTACATTTAAGTTGCTTCTGATAGAGTCATTGCATAGGTTTGTTTAGCAAACAAACTTCTTTTTTCACTTGGGATACAGATGCCGATGCCAGGATTACCTTATCAGCTTGCTATGCAAAGATGCTTTAGCTACCAACTAATTTACAAAGTGTAGGTTTAATGTAAACCCATCAAGAATTGATGCAATGTATGAAAAGATGCTCAGGATATTAGTAAAGAGCACTCTCTCATGTCAGCCTGAAATTCCCAAATTTTCAGCTAGCATTGCCTTTGGAGTTACACTCTCAGCATATCCAAACAGCCAGTTTTGGAGGGAATCACAATTAGTGTATCAAGGTGCCTTACTTCATAGGTTTGAAGAGAGCTTCGCCATGATTGGGAAAAGTCATGATAAGCTTCAGTTGAGTTCCTCCAGGCTTCTGAACTGAAATGACATTAACAATCATTAGAGCTCATGAAGAGATTCAGGTTGCTGTATTTTTTATTTTACAGATGAGGATAAAATGTTCCATTTATCTTGTTCATTCAAAGAGGATACCTCCTTGAAAAGTGTTTGTTGAATAAAAATCCTGGTTTTAAAAACATGATTACGAATTAAGCTTCTTTCTCACACTTTTTGTGTTTCACACCTAATTTCATCCTAAAATACAGTGTTTCTCCAAAAATAAGACCGGGTCTTATTGTCTTTGGTCTTATTTTTTGGGGGTGCAGGAAGCAGTGAGCATGGCTCTCAGGCCCTTATCTGCGGCCCACAGCCTGCAGATCAGCTGATCCAGCGAGAGCCAGAGGTTCTGTCTCTCTGGGCATCTAGTAATGTTTCTGGCCCACTCTTGCCAGCCCTAGCCCTGTCGACCTGGGATTGGGGGGAGGGGGACTGGAGCCGGAGCTCCGAGCAGTGGCCAGTGCAGGCTCTGTCTGCGCAGAGGTGTGGGCGGCAGTGCACCTTGCTCGCCTAATCTGGCCTGCTGATCTCAAGCGACAGTGGCTCTGATCTGATCCTGGCTGGTAATGCTGTGGGCAAGAACTGCCCACGCTGATCCCACTTCCCCCAGTCCCAGGTTGACAGGGCTACGGCTGGTAAGAGTGTGCCAGAAACATCTCCAGGCGCCCGGAGAGACAGAACTCCCGACCCTCGCTAGATCAGCTGATCCACAGGCCGCAGTTAAGGGGCTGAGCAGCCATGTGATGATTGGGGAAGGGGAGGGCTGTCTCCTGTGCTGTGTATGCCCACACCCTTCACTAGGGCTTATTTTTGGGGTAGGGTATATATTACGCTGGTCCCCTAAAACAGTGGTCTCCAACCTTGGCAACTTTAAGACCTGTGGACTTCAACTCCCAGAGTTCCTCAGCCAGCAAAGCTCTGGGAGTTGAAGTCCACAAGTCTTAAAGTTGCCAAGGTTGGAGACCACTGTTTTAGGGGACCAGCGTAATATATACCCTACCCCAAAAATAAGCCCTGGGGAAGGGTGTGGGCATACACAGCACAGGAAACAGCCCTCCCCTTCCCCAATCATCACATGGCTGCTCAGCCCCTTAACTGCCGCCTGTGGATCAGCTGATCTAGCGAGGGTCGGGAGTTCTGCCTCTCCGGGCGCCTGGAGATGTTTCTGGCACACTCTTCCCAGCCGTAGCCCTGTCAACCTGGGACTGGGGGAAGTGGGATCAGCGTGG